GATAACGAAAGGAGGAGAGCCCGGCGTCAGCCAGGCGATCCTAAAGTTATTGAAGGATGCAAAGCTGCGGACAGTCACTCAAAATAAGAACATCATGTCGTTCCGTTTCCTTAGCTCCTTGTTCGCTTTAATCGTGCAAATGACTAGCTCAGTCATTCGTTCATATGCGATTAAGATCGTGCCATCTTGGATGTGGATGAGCTGTCCACAAATTGTTGTAAAGCGGCGGCTACCTCTATGCGATATATAAGTTTTTCTTCCCAGGATTACTTCGCTAGCGTGAATTTTAGGGTGAAACCAAAACTCGTAATTTTAGTGGAAGTTCGTGGATACTAAAGTTCTTTTTTCATCGTTGCGTACACTGCTTCTGGGCGGAGGTGCTGCAGTGACAAGTAGCGCCCTTCACACGCGCACGGTCACGTGCTTGAATACCGGATCGATATTTGCCTGGGCCAACTGAGGAATTCTCCTTATTCGTACGCGAGTTGTCTCACGCCACGCGGCTATCTTTGTTACGCGACCAAATACGTGAGAATCCCTCGAGCACTAACTATTAGATGAGAAATCTTTATCTCAAGTTAGTAACGTGGTTAAGTATATGGAATAACAAGTGAACACAAATAATAGAGAGTAACTGAGGAAGGCGGACATGACGACTGACCGAAGGATGAATGCCCTCACGTTTCCTCATTTTTCTTATATAACGTCGTTTCCCGCGCGATTGTGACGCCGTGATCCCCCTCCTGGGAACAGTGAGACGGCTTGCCGTCGCTCCCCGCGGCAATGACTTATTGAGAAACCTGTGGAGATATACCAATGAAGTAAAACAACACATGAACAAATATTGAACGGTAACAGTAGATTACATTGATCAACTTCTTCCATCTACCTACTGTCGTCTCCCATGTATTCTCATATACCGATCCATCGACCTCAATTCTTTCTCGACCTCAAATAGGTCCTCTCCTGCATTTTTCGATTGGCATGGGCTTCTGTCTTTGCGTCCGGGATGTCTTGAGGCAATGTTCAATCTCTGTTTTCTACTTGTAATTTTTAGGCATGAATCAAAAAAACGCTCCCCCCCCCC